ATAAAAAACAGTAAAAACTAAACTAAAATTAAATTAATTCACAAAGATACAAAATAAAGGTTTCTTTCATTACATACTTTATTATTAAAAAATCCATCAGATTCTTGTATTAAAAATGTTATACAGAGTTATTCTTCTCAAGTAACAAGTAACTAAAATTACAAATATCTAAAAAACGTCGATTTTACGATGAACCCTTTGTATTAATAACCAATTATTTAAAGATATATTTCTAATTTACTGGCGATACATGTGGAAAAATGGTTGACAACAACTGTCATAATTAAACAACGATAATTGAATTAGGAACATCACGGTGCACTACTACATTCTGAACAGAGTTGTATGCACATTTTATTTCTTACTTCTATACTTATTAGGTAAGTTATGCAATTTCAGTTTAGGATGTTGTAGAAGAACAATTATCTCTTGTATAATATTTGCAAAAGGAAATTCTTCATAGTTAATTTAGGCTCATTCGAAATTTTTTGCCCATATTATTTCTTTTTCACATGTATTTCAGATATCGTCAGCTGATTTCAGGTTAATGAAATACATTGCAAAAACTGTAATTTAAATTTCCTATTAGTGACATGTATTTCCGAATATGTTATTTGTTTTTGCAGAAACTATCAAATGTATTTAAAATTTCGTTAAAAACGTTTAAAAAATGATGCAATCAATAATTAAAATAATTTAATTATTCTGTCTGCGCTTTTGATTTTCAAATTTAAAACTAAAATAGCAAATAGATACTGATCAAAAAACTCAACGGACAGTTAATGTGATTTGAAATGCTTTTGATGTTTACAAGAGAAAATTAATTAGCAAAACTTTCACAGAAAACGCAATTTCCTGCGGGAATTGTTAATGTGCACTAATGGAAAACAGTAGCGATTTTTACGAACCCAAAATTCGTTCGACTAACCACTATAATAATTATTCAACAATTTTTTAAAGACCGTTTCTTCACTTGGATTAATCCTCAAATCCTAATTAGGTGTCGAAAGAATTCGAAGTAATTAACCACATTTTCAGAACAAAATTTCTCTTATGCAACCGCAGGCATATCTAATGACTTCACGCTCTCTTTCTCCGTATAATCCACTTCTTCTGATGATAACAAATGGATTTTTCACGAAGCACAAAATGAACAGGCTTGGAGATGAATTAATATTGTCTCTTTCTGTGTTCTATTGTTGCGCAAAACCATTGTCCTCTTAGGAGAAAGAATGGAAAGGCTAATAAAAATATATACTCAGTAAATTAAAATATCTCTTTATAGAATATACTTCTATAATGTGAAATGTTGACTTAATGCTACAAAGTACATAAAATATAAGTCGTTTACATTAAGCTTACTACAATTGTACGATATTAAAAAATAGTTGTTAGAGTATAACAGCTGCCTTAAAGGAGATATACTTTCGCTTAAGTTCTAAATTAACTAATATAATGGTATATCACAGCTATGTACATAATATCTAAACAACAAAGGTACTATACTAATGAATTGAATTCAGGAAAATGCACTTATAATTGCGATCAAAGAATGGTATAGAAATAATTACATAGTAAATACTGTTTTCGATATATGTAAGTCTTTAAGTTTACCTAATTTAAACCTTTTTTAAGAATAATTAATGAGAAAGTATTACAAAGTTAATACTTCTCGTGAGAATTTTTTGCCGTACAGATCATTATTATAATATAACATTTGTTTTTTCCAACTTAACAAAACGAGCTCCACGGCCTACTTATTTGGAAGTCACCTAAAACACTCCTTAGTGATTCTAGACTAAGTGGCTTTCAACAATTTTATCAATTCACTATTTTAAAATGTGAAATAGCTTCTAGTTGACTACTTATGTAGATACTAGAATATATTCAAATAAACGGTAAAGAAACTAGACCACGAAAAAATCCATTCTCACAGTATGAAATGGTTAAAAAAGGTACTAACTTACATTAAGAAATTACCCTTTTACTTCTAAAAGTTGTCGTTGGAACTACAGAAACAGTAACCAACAAATTTTCCTCCTGCTTTATCAAAGTCGCTTTATCAAATTTCGCTTTTATTTTTTCGTTGTTTTCAATTGTCTGAATTTTATTGAAAACGCCTTAACGGATAAAACATGACGCATCCCTTATTTCAGTATTTCGAAATATTCCTTCAGTCACCTGAAACCGAAAGTATCCTATGTGGAAATGTTACACTGAAATCCAGGCCATATTTCCTACCCTTACACTTGGCAAGGCGAGCTGTTGGCAATGTAAACAAAGGATCTCGAAATTCAGGCGGATTATTTGGCCCTAATGCCTTAAACTCCAGTTCGGAACACCTGATATCGTGACGCTATTTCGAGCGCAAACACTCCCACACATCAACAGAGAGTAAACACAAACCAATCTGGGGCATTAGCTATTCAAACTTAACCCAGAACAGTGTCGATTGTGCTGTCAAGATTAATCAATACCAGTTGTTCTGTTTGGTGTCCATAATGTAACGATATATTATATTGATAAATGGTAACGCGATCATACGTACATATACTATGTATATTCATATTTAATGTAACAAAATTGTTTATCGAGCACAGAATGATAAAATATAAAATAATTTCTCATACGAGGTAGACAGCCAATTGGTTTGGGTCCATCAAAAATGAAAATGGATATTTTCACTATCTGCTTTATGTTCCTTTAACACAACATTTAAAATACATATTGCAATACATAACAATTAATTTTCTTCATTATAGACTCACTCCTCCTCTTCTCCTTACACTAACTCCATCTATTAACATCATAATTAACATATTAAAATGGCGCTAAATTTAAATAACAATTTATAACACTTATTTTATAGACAAATTTGCGTGAGCGAATTGAAGATACCATCAAATTAGGCTACTTTGTGATTTTTGTTATTACTTTGTGACGGTGAGTAGCAGAATGACACATAAATAAGCATATTTATTGTTCAATGTAAAATCCTTCATTCTTTACAGGAACCTATAAATTTCGGAAATATTAATTTTTATTTTCGTGAAAAATTTGTAACTCAATCATTTTATTATTCAACTCACTTGTACTTAAATACATTTGATAGCTATTGAATTAGTAAAAAATGTCCACATTCATAGGATATCCCTCATTATTAATTAATAGCATATAATCCAAACCATATGGTCTTGGGACATATGGTAGGATATCTGGAGGATATCCTAATTCGTAACATAAGAGATTCCTCGAATGTCCTATGTCTATATCCTGTCTTGATATCTTAATGACATCTTTGGAACAGGTTTGTGCTATGTGGGTTGCAATCCGATTATGATTATTTTTTTAATTTTGCGGAAGTATTAATGTTTCCATTTGAAATATACATATAAAACTAATTTCTGTTTACAACAATATACACTTTCATTTTACAAATCTCATTATACAGAGTGGTTCCTAAGCTGAATCATATTTTTTAACAGGGTGGGGTATTGTAAAATTACTTACAACATTTTTTTTAATTCTATTTTTAACTCCAAAATACGGCAACTACAGCCTTCCACAGTCATACAAAAATAAGTTAAGCCTTGCAAATAATTTATGCAAGTAAGTGGATCGCCTGCATATTAAAAATAAACAGTTCAGGAACCTAATGTTTATAGCTTTTTTAGAATTCTTATTTTCTTATGTTGCATAAAGCTACATTTAATCGAATTTTTTGTAATACTTATATTTGGTTAGTTGATAATACCCATTCTTAGAGACAAACAAATTTTCAGGACAGGTTTTTCAATAAATGTCTTGACAAGCTATCGTTAACAGTAATTTTGTTGGGCTTTTTTCTTGGTCTTTTAGAAGATGTGCTTCTGGACGCCAGAAAGAACATGTGGTTATTAGAAGATGGGGCGTCAGTCTATTGTAGGTGCGACAGTTTTTAGACACTACTTTCCGTAATAAGTACCGTGGAGGTTGTTGCATGGTCAGCTAGGTCACCAGATCTTAGCCGTTTTGTAAATCAGGCTGGCCGGCTGGCGACCATTTTGAACTTTTTCTGTAAATTCAAGGAAGAATCGTAATAAATTTAGTTTTCAAAATTAATATGCCAAGTAAACTTTTACCATTAAATTTTTTGAAATATGGTATTTGAAAAAAAAATAATTTATTTTAACGAGCTATACGTTATGAAAAAAAAATATGACTCAACATAGAAATCTACCTGTATTTTTAAAGAACAATCCAACTTTTTTATTTTGGTCTTATGACTTATAAATCAACATTAAAATTTATAAAAAAGTCAATGGTTCAAGCTTCCCATTTATAAAGATTTTGGATATACATGGTGTTACTAAATAAGTGTCGCAACGGAAAACCGTAAATTCCTCTTGAAAAGATAAACATTATTTTCCTCTTCCATTTTTCTCCCCGGGCTTTCGTTTTCGAGATACACGGTGTCAAAACTTTAATTTTTTTTAAATTTTTTGCCAATATCTTTTTGTACACGCATTACTACTATTAATAGCTACTTTTTTTTTTGCACCCTTCTCGAATTCATTGAACGTGCCAGTGGTGGAGGTTTTAAGGTATCGTAACGGTTTCCCCCCCTAACTTTTACGCCACTGGAAAAATTAACATATGACAGCAAATTCTGAAGTGCCAATGAATTTTATACAAAAAGAGTTCTCTTGGTTCATTGCTCTAAAGTCAACCGTTTTCAGGAAAAATAACTTTTTATGAACAAAAACAAACATTTTGCTAACGTTTCGAAAATCTTTTGTAATTTAAAGAATGGGTAGTAGGTACTAATTAAAAATTTTAACGAAATTTAACAGCATTTGCAATAAGTAGCTATTAATAGTGGTAATGTGTGTACAAAAGCTCAGTCCTGTAGTTCAAACGGTTCCTAAGATATTGGAAAAAATCTGAAAAAAAGTTTTGACACTGTGTATCTCGAAAACAAAAGCCTGGAGAGAAGAGGAAAAAATGTTTCTCTTTTCAAGAGGAATTTACAGTTTTCCATTGCGACACTTATTTAGTAACACCCTGTATATTGAAACATATTTAGTATAGCACATATCTTAATGAAATATCAAAAATCGTCTCAGAAGTACACCTTGTTAGGGCATTAAAATATTTACTGATTCCAGTTTCTTAAAGACCGTTATATTTTTATTGTAAATTCAAACGGAACAAAAAACAAATTATCAAAAGGAAATTTTGAGGGAACGATATATTTTTATCAATTATTCTTCTTTAAATGTTTCAGTAACAAAAACCTCTTCATTAAATTTTTTTAACTTTTAACAAATAGGTTAAAATCAAGCTTTCTTAAAATATAAAAGGTTTTAATAATAAAAAACTGTCCAAATAAATTACATTTTTATCGTTCAGTGACCAAAATTGTTGCAGAGCAAGTTGGTTATTATTCCTGTAGTATAACACATGGTTAAATAATAAAAAGTAAGGTCAATTCTTCTTCTTTAGTTTAAGTTCAAGTAGGAGAAAATAAAAAACGTTAAGAATAAAGAATTGTCAAAGTAAATTACACTTTCAACCGCCAAATTTATTGGTTATCATTCTTGTAGTGTAGCAGATGGCTAAATATAAAAGAGTAGAAAATTTCTCTCAATTATTCACCTTTTTGTATTCATGTATTCGACACAGAAACTAAAGTAGCACAAGTTTGTCCTCCTTGCCGTTTTATCTATTTCTACGTACTCATTTTGTAGTTCACCGATTTTTAGCAAACAAAAAACGTTCTTGATTTGCGAACATTATCATAAGTGCATTTTCGCCACAACAAATACCAGTAAAGTATTACAATTTTTGCAACGCTCTCCGAAGTTCTTCCGTGGCTTTGGCCAGATTTGTACTCTGCAACGAAGTCTTCAGTTTATATTCTTCTGATCTCTCGTCGTTCACGTAGTCTTTTGGTGGTTCCGTGGGATAACCGTAGCCGTAGCAGCGGGATCCGCTGCCGAATTTTGGCCTGGGGATGTGCACCCTTTTGACATCTACTAACCAGGATTCCATGTTGCCGAGGTGCCTGTAAAACAAATGACGGAAATAAACAAACTGATAAATTATAAATATAAAATGTGAATTTAACAGGTAACATTTTTTTCTGTTATTGTATAACCTGTGTGTCAATTTTAATATTTCATATTTCCTGAGAAGATGGAACAAAAGTAATTTTAGATGTGAAGAATACGATTTTCCAAAAAAATTGAATGACGGAAAACATCTCGTTATCTTGAAATATCCCGTACGTCACTGGATTTTACAAAAAGAACTGTAATGAAAATTTTTGTGGGGCCTCTCATATTTTTCGAGAAAAGAAGATATTACGATATTTCAGGCTCGATTCAAACTCATATATTTTTTAATGGGGCGCCCTGTATATTTCTTTATTTTTTAATTTTCATAGATTTTCCCTACAAATGATATGTCATATATGACATGTATGCAAGAACATTTATTGATGCAGTTACTTTTTGACATAATTAATTGTATCATTGATGTCTCTATGTACTTGTTGATTATAAAAAAAGTAATTGTTGATATTTACACCTCAAAAAATTGAGCTGAAAGGAAATTTTATACAGATTTCTAAAAGTAAAAAATATATAGATATGATTTTCCATTTAAATTCTTATAATTTTAGGATACAAATGAAAAACCTGAATTTATAAAAAAAATATTGTGTCTGCAAGAAATTGAATAAAATAACCTGTTTACCAAAAAAGGTTACTCGATATGATAAACAACTATCAAAGATAAAAAGCACATTATATGTCGAATGTCAAGATGGAGTTTGCGTTGTTCAATTTTTTCAAAATTTCAAAAAAAAGACACGTTTTGCCTTCTTTTCGTGTCAGGAAACATAATATATGAAATTATTCTAATGTTATTGAAATCGACACGCCCATAGGCTGATATATAACACAGCCACACAAAAAAAGAAAAGATGTCTGTACTTTTCATGCGACATATGTTATCTGTAGTATTTTTGCCTCCTGATCACGAATACGGTATCAGAATTGAGCTATCACATCACAGGAATTTCCTAACCTCAAAAAACAGGTAGAAAATAGCAAAAATTCATGAAAAAGTTTTAGGAAAAACACAAAAATTTAATTTTTCTATATTCAAATGTTCATTTATATAGCTAAGACCCCGCCCAACGTGAATCCGCGGTCAAAATTAATGGTTCTTTTTCTAACCTCAAAAAACGGGTCAACTAAGGTCAGATATCACGAATTTTCAAACAATCACAGATTCGCACCATATTTGGTATACGAGTTATTTGGGTTGCTGATTACGTATTAGAGGTCAGAATTGCGAAATTCATTTTGTAACATTTTACTTTATAACCTGAGTACCCAATCATATGTTATTCTACTTTTTTTCGGCTATATCTTGTCCTTTTTTCTGTAAAAGATCTATTCACGGGCTGAATTTTGTAAATCTGATCTCGGATTCGTGGTCAATGACCTCGAAAACCCCCGTATACCAAATTTGGCGCGAATGTGTTATTTTTTGAAAATTTGGTCGGCCGCCATCTTGAATTTTGTAAAATTGACTTCGAATTCATGATCAGCGACCCCGAAAACCCCCTTATACCAAATTTGATGCGAATCTATTATTTTTTGAAAATTTGGTCGGCCATCTTGGATCCGCCATCTTGAATTTTGCAAAATTGACCCCGGATTCGTGATCAGCGACCCCGAAAACCCCCGTATACCAAATTTGGCGCAAATTTGTTATTTTTGGAAATTCATGATATCTTACCAGAATTGACCGGTTTTTTTGAGGTTAGAAAAAGAACCATCAATTCTGACCGCTAATTCATGTTCGGCGGGGTGTTAACTATATAAATGAACATTTGAATATAGAAAAAAAATATTTTTCTATTTTTCCTAGCACTTTTTCGTGAATTTTTGCTATTTCTGACCTGTTTTTTGAGGTTAGGAAATTCCTGTGATGTGATAGCTCAATTCTGACACCGGATTCGTGACCAGGAGGCAAAAATATTACGGATAACATATGTCGCATGAAAAGTACAGATTCCTTTTTTTTGTGTGGCTGTGTAATTAGTCTAAATGGGCCATTTTGTATATTTAAATATTCAAGTACTACTCGTAAATTACTTTTTTTTATTTTATGCTTACAAATTAAAGCACTTTTCATGATACTGAACTGATCAAGGAATACAAAGGTCAGTTCGACGTTGGTGAAAAGTCCTAGCTTTTAGAGTACATGAAACATCATTAACTTTTACATAAAGCTCTTAATTCACTGTTCACATAAATGTATAACCGAGTTGCTATAAATTTATTCCGTCGATGGTTTTACGGACTGTTATAACTCATAATTTAAAACTGTTTAAAATTCACGAACTTTGACTTCGTTACGCTTTAGATGGAGACTTTTAGCTTTATTCGCTCGGTTCTTCATTGTTGAATTGTGATTCCCAACTTTTTTCATTGTATAACTTCCTGCCAAATATAATTAACATAAACTGGTAATTAAAAGTCTCTAAATATTCTCTTTGAAATAATGAAATCCGAATATACAGAATTTGGAAGGTACTAAAAACTAAAAATGTTTCGTTCCCTAAAATGTATTTTCATGTTCATGGAGGAATATTGGCGTAAAAAAAACATATGGCGCTTTTTAGTACCTCTGTAGTAAACAAATAATTTTTGTCTAGTTTTAACCAATAAATTTAAAAAATATTGATTTGGAATAGTAAGTGCGGATGAATGTTATCCCAGAAATTGAAATGTACTAAAACCATGAAATTATATTTCTACTTATAACTCTCAAACCGATGTGCCGATTGAAATGGACTTAATCCTGACTGAAAGCCAAATAGACGCACCCAAAGTGATACGAATGAAATTTGTAACATTAAAACATAAGAGGGTTCCGAAAATTACCCTTAATGTCGGTTCTCCGACCAAATTTGGTGGTGTAGGTCAGAAATAGTAGAGAAGTTAATGTGGCACCGATAGATTCGTCATGTAGAGGCTTTAAAATGCCAGTCTCAATTCGATTTTTTGAAATGGGTGAGATAGAGACGTCCAAAATTTGTGAAATGTCCAATCGATTTTAAAAAAGCGCTTCTTGTAACTGAATTCGAAGAATTTGAGTCCCTATTCGGACGCAAGTTTAGCATCAAGTATTACAGCATACCTACTGTTATGTCAGCAGAATAAAGCTTAACCCTGTTTTTTTTTTAATTTTAACACCCCGCATCTCATAATTAAACTTTTTAAGTTCAACTTCATACGAATTCTTCATTTTTGATAAATATCATCCAACAAAACCAGTTTGGTTATGCTTTATACAAGTCTTTATCTACTATTATGTTACACTAACGTTTGGAAAATATTATTAACAATCTTTGGAAATAAGAAATTAACAAAGTTGCTGAAATTTGGAGCTTAGGTTGCCTCAAGGTTTTCACCTACTTCCTCTTAACTGCCTTACGATCAATTTTAGTTATAACCTCGGTTACAACACTGTTATTTATACAATCTCGTTATTTCCTTAAAACAGCACTTTGCATAACCGTGGGAAAAATATAACCTGCATTGTTTACACAGGTTTTTAGGACAGAAAGCGATTTAAAATGCTTATTGCATTTACTTGCATCACTAATTTCAATAATTTGATATTTCTCGGCAAAGAAAACTTATTTCATGGAGATAACTGTAGTCACTTCTAGACCATATTATTTTAAAATACACCTAAGTAGGATCTAGTTTAGAATGATATAATTAATCTTTAATGTTAAAACTTAAAACGACTACTAAAGAGGTCATTTAAAGCAACTTGGATTGCCTGATGACAGATGAATTCATCCTAATATGTCATATTTTACGTAATAAGTAATTGTTGTTGTGTCCATTATATGCGACAGATATCAAATAACTTAAATCGTAAAATACCTTTTTTTGTACGTGACAAGTACAAATACAATTGTATTTAATTTAATAGTTTTTGAAAAAATAAAATAGATACAGTAAAATGATTTTCAGATGCAGTAGAGTCGTTTCCATAAGTGAAGAGTCTGTGTAAATCTCATACAAACATAAAATACATATAAATAAAATCAATTAATAACATAATAATTTTTTTGTTCGTCATATTTAATGAAAACAATATTAAAGTGGGGGAATGATAATGTTTTCAATGAAAACTTCAAAATTATGTCATGTCGTCTTATTGCAAACGGCAATAACAGTAGCTAGAGACATAAATACACTAGATTTGTTCATACCGAAACGCCAAAGTGATTCTGATGATAAATAGTGAGCTAGAATTCTTTATATTTATCTAAATTGTAGAATCGATTTTTATTAACTTCTAGAAAAATCTCTTCATGTGCCAACTCTTACTAAAAACGTCTTTCGATGTGGTTAATTTTAATTGCAATATTATGTATCTTTACACAAAACTGTTGGAAATAAAAAAACGCTGAAGATCTTAGAGTCGCCTTCTAGAGCTTCCTATTCTATTCGGTCCAATTTTGTGATTGGATCTTCCAAGTGAAAGTACAAATTTATCTAGAATCTTATGACATACCATTTGTTCGCCTAAACCTTGGTCTACTATTTTCCTGTTTTCTACTGGTTCGTCAAAAGAAATTCTTTTAATTATGTCAGTGTCTTACAACAAGAACTGTCCATTTAAGGCGATTCAGTTTGATTGTGGCGACAATTTTTCAGCCGTTTTTGTACAGCAGTTATATTTCGAAGTTACATTTTCGCGTACATATTCTCACACATTGCTTCAAAAATGCGAAGTACCTTCCTTTCAAAGGCAATGATATTTCATCAGATTTAATCAACGTTCCCATGTCTCCCATCAGTATGTGAAACCAGAACTATGGGCATCTTAAATTGACCTCGAATTATCTTTCTGTGGTGTCAGGATAGGTTTATTCCAAAAAAAATTCTTAAACAAAACGCAGTTAACCGCAATGAATTCCCAGACAGACTTAGGTGTGAAAGTTAAAAGATGTTTGTGCTGGTCGTC